TCTGGTTGCTCCTGAATTCTGCCGCGCCGTCAGATTGCCAGATTTTCAGCTTCTTCCCAGACTGTCGTTCTGCGTGCGCCAGCCAGAGGCGAAACACCTCGTAGGCTCTGTCGCGTGACTCCACGTTCACGACCCACACGTAGCGCGTTCCAGCGTCGATGAAGGTGAGCGTGTACATTTCGTCCTCGACTCCGCAATGCCCCACGTTCAGGAAATCGCTGTACACCTTGTGCAACTTGGGGTAGCGGTTCATTCCAGGTGCGAGCAGCGGGAACGGTTGGTGGCTCAGCGCAGCTTCGGGGCAGACGGTGCAGTTGCGCGGATGTGTCGCGCCTCTCACTTCGGAGCCATCAGGGCGCAGGAGTGCGCCAAGGGCGAAGACGCCTGCGTCGATGCAGTTTTTCAGCGTCGCGCGTGAAGGGTGTCTGAGGCGCTGGTGCCAGAGAGTATCGTCAGCGCGAAAGCCGGAGGTGCGCATGTAGCGCGCGCGCGCTTCCTCAGGGTCTTCGTCAGGTACAGGAGCAGGTTCTGCTGCTACTCCCTCTGCTTCTTCTTCTTCTGGCGCGGTAGTCAGTATCAGCGCCAAGAACTCTCTGTCGCGAATCTCAGAGAGCAGAATGTTGGTCCCGGGGATGGTTCCAGGGACAAAGGTGGGTTCGCGTGGCTCAGGGGCAGGTCCGTAGACGGTGCGACGCGGGGTTGACGGCTCGTTGCCCCAGATGATGGTGTCCCATGGATCGCGACGCGGGGGGTTGTCAGGAGGAGGTGGTGCGAGTGGAATGTGACGCGGGGGACGACCAAGAGGAACGACTGCAGGTGTTGCCTCAGTTTCCTCAGCTTCATCCTCTCCCCCCTTTCGTTCGTCGCGGAAAGTACCCCAGCCGCTATTGTCGGCGCTAGTTGCGGCGCCCCATCCGCCGCTCGCGTTGGCCCAGGTTCCGCCGTTGTCTCCCCAGCCGCTAGTGTCACTTGTTCCCCATCCTCCAGTGCTCCCCCACCCCCCTTCATTGGAGGCAATTTCTTCAGCCTCAGCTCCCCAGGTGGCGCAAGCGAAGGTCCCACGTCCTTCTGCGAGGCTTTGCTGGCGAAGCTCCTCAGCTTCGCGGCGCGCCAATTCTTCCTCTTGCTCCACGGTGAGTTTCTTCGACGAGTCGCGTCGATGAGAGTAGATGGCCAGAGACTTCTCGTAGGTGTAGGTTCGCGGCTCGCCATGGGCATCAAAGGTGCCGACGCCAGTTCCGCGCAGCATGCCTTGAAGGTGCTGTGAGGGGGGACCGATGAGGGGATGCTCTGGTGTGTCGAAAATGCCGTGGGTAGTAACTTCAAGCTCGAGCTGCGACATCCCTTCCTCTGGGGGCGCGTGGCGCTCTGCTTCAGCGATGGCGACGAGTTCGCGGCCGGCAATCGCGCTCGTTGATGTCGTCGGCGTGTAACAATCCCTGCAGATGCCATCTGGATCGGGGTTGTGTAACGCCGTTTCGCGTGGGTGGGGATGATGCGGCACCCACGGTCTGCCGTCAGGGTGCTTCCAATCCCTGCGGTGGATGTGCTCGAAGCGCAGTGGCACGAGATCAATCAACTCGTGCGAGTCGCCGCTGCAGTCGGGAATGTCGAAATCTAGGACATACACTCCATTTTCGGAGTGCGCTCGTCCGATCTGCCTGCGGGGAAATTTGCGCGATTCGTAGTGCAGCAGGATGTCTCGCGTCGCGCGATCCGTGCTGAGGTCGACGCCGCAGCCCATGAGCTGTGCGGCGGACAGGAGGTTGAAGCACAGGTTCTGGACGATCAGCACATCGTTAAGCGTGATGTGCGTGCGGCTTCCACGTGCTTTGAGCACGACAATGCCTTGTGCGCTTGCGTGCAGGCGCGTGTTGTTCGCCACAGTGACGTAAGTGACTGTAGGGGTGGGGACGGCGTTGGATATGTAATGCTCGGAGCCCACCATATGCTGGCCGCAGCAGCTGTCCAGGTACCAGGTGTTGTAGCGCTTGTTGTCGTCACGTGCGAAAACGCCAATCACGGTGTGACGATGTGCGGGGTGTCGAACTTCAGAAATTGCTCGCGCGAGAGCCAATCAAGTGGCGCCACCCGCATGTCTGGTATGTGCGGGGGACTTTCAAGCAGCGGGACTGGGAGGTTCCAGTCCTGGTCGTCGTCGTCGTTGAAGTCGCGGCGCGGGCTGAACGGGTTGTTGTTGGTGAACGCGCCGATGGGGTGCGGTGCTGGCTCAGGTGAGGGTGAGCGAACACGGCGACGACGTGACTCGCCTGTCATGGCCATGTTGCTCATGACGTTGCGCGTAGGGGCAGTTGATGGCTGCTGCTGCTGATGCTGAACGGTTGAGTTCAGATTGCGCGCTGGTGGGGGTTGATACCCTTGGGCTGGACGCACGTCGCCTCGTGCGTCTTGTCGGCCGGACCAGTTGCTCGGATTGGTCTGGCGAGGGCGAGATCGGAACTTACATCGATCCGCCAAATGCCCGAAGTTTCTGCAGATTTTGCAGTAGAGGCGCCGCGGTCGTCGCTCTTCATTGTTGTCGGCGTAGAAGGCGAGCCGTTCGCGTTCTCGTCGTGGCGCTGGTCGCTGCTGATCCATATCCCGTTGTTCGACGAGAAGGGCGGCGCAAAGGGCGGCCTCCGAGATGACCCCCTGCTGTCGGAGGAGCGCCTTGCAGGGCCGCCACTCTGGGCCAAGCCCTTGAAGCACAATGTTCACGAAGATTTCCTCGGAAATCGAGCTTCCCAACTTCACGATTTGATCGCGAAGGCTCCGACAGCGGTTGATGTAGCTGTTGACCTTCTCCCCTGAGGTCATCTTAGTTTCCAGCAGTTGCTGGAGTAGTCGGCACGAGGAGACGGAGTCCTTGGGCTGATACACGCCGTTCAGGTGGCGCCAAGCGTCGAGGGCTGGGGCAGCCGATGTCTTGTATGAACGAATGTTCAGCTGCTCCGCCGGCGACATGTTACGCAGAAGAATCCCGTACGCCATCAGGGACTCGTTATAATAGCGAGTCCTGGCGTCGTCGGTGTCCTCAGCAGGTCCCGAGTAGCTCCCGTTGAAATAATGATAAATCTGCGCGTTTTGCAGCAGCAGCTCCAGCTCGAAGCTCCATGTGTAAAAGTCTCTGCCGTCAAAGCACACACTTGTCTTTATTTTTGATATGCTCAGAAACCTTGATTGCGCGGAGAGAATTGCTTCATCGCTGGGACAGGGAGTCTTGGGGGTTGAGCCATTCGTATCTAGGGAGAAGCCTTGCGGGGCCGAGTTTTGGCCGTTTGACGCCGGTTGAATGGGTTGGGAAGAGGTTCCCGCGTCGCCATTCCGCAATGTTTGGAGTCCTTGCTCCAGGCTCGTGAGTCGCTGAAGCAGTTGTGCGAGGACGGCGGAAGGGATCGTCGTCGTTTCCTCGCTTGTCGCAGCCGGGTTGGGCTGCGCTTCAGCCGTCAGATTCGTCTGACCACCAGATCCTCCGGCCATTCTCACACGCGAGCGTGTGCCGGACGCCACTTTCCGAATGTCGTAATTTTCGGGAGTGGCAGTGCAAAGGATTCCCGAGCCGCTCTCATACCATGCTGCGATCAGAAGTTGATCGTGGCCTAGGATCTACTCAGGAAGGTTCGCACGCAGAGAAGTGATGTTGGTGGGCCCTTGACCTGAATAGCAGAGTGAATGTAAAATGCTTTGAGATGATTTAAAACATGCAAATACAGCAAATATAAATATGAGTACAGGGGAGATGAAACGACCTAGCTAGCCATGTACTCTAAGGGGTACATTCCCTTATTCAAATACATTCCCAACCGTGCGGCGCGAACAGTTACGAAACTGTTCCCGCCGAAAACCATCCTGCCTGCAGCTGCCTGATGCTGTCTGCTCCGACGGTCCAGATGCGTCCCAACTGTCTGACGCTTCGAGTCGTTTCCAACCGTCTGACGCTTCGCGTTCATTCGCGATACTGCGTGCTTCTCTTTGCTGCGGTGAGGAGTGCACAGTAATATTCAAGTATTACTATTCGTAACATGAAGGACCTTTCAGTGTACCGGTAATTGAATCAGCAGGCGCAGGGTACCTCTGGAATTCATTAAGCAGCACCATGCAATTGCTTGTACGATCAGATCAGGCCTGTAGGAACACCCTGTATGATCGTAACCTGAGCTTGCTTCGCAGATCCCATAGGCACGTATACATACCGTATAGCTCCGGCTAAAATACCCGCCGGTAAGAAGGTCCCCCGGGACTCTTGAATGGGTAGGGGGACTCTTATTGTGGCAGATATTGTGAGGACCCCCCCTTGGCCTCTAATCTTCATAAGACCCCCCTTTTATGTATAGAGTAGTTGTTATTTTTATTGTGAGTTAGTTTTTACTGGCAAAAAATCGAATTCTGACATGAATTTCGTGTCAGACTCGAATTCTGACAGAAATCTGACGCGCCGCTCGCGCGAAATCTGCACGCGAAGGCTGTTTTTTTCGTTACGAATATAAGACCCCCCCTGCCCCAAATTGAACTGTACACCCTAATTAACAGATTGATATATGATAAATAAGTGTACCCCGGGTCTTAAAAATTCGCAACCGCCATAATGTCCACCCAAGCATATTTTCAAGCATTTGTAGAGTCCCCCGGGTCTTCAAGCCGGAACTATACGGTAGGCAGATGAGACACAGCTACAATAGCTAGCTTAATAGATATTTAATCTCTACGGACAACAAGCTTATTTCATCACGAATTGAGGGGACCTGATGTAGCAATTACTCCAGGAAGGATGTTCCTAATCAAATCCTCCGTCTCTTACGAATGAGTTCCAATTTTTTGGAGGTTCGGAAGCCCCTTGAGCCACATCAAACCCAACACGGTGATGCTGGCATCCCACAGTGCCAGCTTCTCCAGGCGTTTCATGTTCCACAGGTGCCTTATGCCCCAGTCAGTCACACCTGGGGGCAAGATGAAGAACTTGAGAGATGTGAGGGCAGTCAGATGCTGCAGCCCATCTTCCCTCACTCCACTACCATGCAGTGTGAGCCACTCCATGGGCCCCAGTGTGAGCCTCCCATACATCCGCCCATGCACAGTGCCGTGAGGCCGGACAGCTCTTGCAGCCTCGCCACTCCCGCGTCTGTGATATTGGTGTTGTTAACCACAAGAATCTGCAGGTTCGTGAGGCGGCCAATCCCTTCCAGAGCGGCATCGGTTGCATCGATGGCCCCAAATATCAGATGGTTCAGACCTGTGAGGGAGTACAGCTTCCTCATCCCTGCTGCTGTGAAGCCCGAGGAGGCTCCGAGGTCGACCAATGTGAGGTGGCGCAATGAGGCGAGGTGGGTGAGAGCAGCATCTGAGAGGCAGGAGATGCCGCTGAGGACCATTCGAGTCTGCCCTGGCACTGCTGCCGCCCACAGAGCGAGCATTGCCTGCAGGCAGGGCAAACAAGATGGCAGGCACAAGCACGATGGAGTTACAGCTGAGAGCGGGGCACTGGACACAGTGAGAGCGATGGTGGAAGTCATGTGTATGTATCATCAGATAAGAACTACGATTGCGACGTGTTTTTGCCGAACTAGTGGCGAAAACAGCCTTGTTGAGCGATGGTGGAAGTCATGTGCATGTTTCATCAACAATTGGAAGCACTCACCTCCCACACCTTCTTCCCCTCGTCACTCGTCTTCTCCAGCTTCGCCACTCTGCTTTCCACCGCCCCTACCGTCGTCTTCACCTCCTGCCATTCCAGCTCCCATGCCAGGTCCTCCGCTTCATACCGCTTTTCATCAGAAGCAGCAGCATCATCATCATCGTCCGCAGCATCATCTGCCGCGAGCCTGCCAGCTCATCGCGTTTCCCCGTAAACTCCCTCTTCCTCTTCTTTTCCTCGCGCCCCTCCGCGTCTACATGCCCCGCGCTGCCGTCGCTTTTGTCGCTGTGCTGTTGTCGCTGTTGTCGCTGCGCGCGTCGTCTCCCGCGCGACCTTCCACTCCGCCACCGCGAGCTCCACGTCGTTTATCCGCGCGTCAATGTGCGCCGCTGTCGCGCGCACGTCAGCTATCTCCACCGACTGTCGCTTGCTCAACGCCTTCGCCTCGCTCGCCGCGTCGCTCGCCTCGCATTTCGCCGCCTCCAGCTGCTCCTTCAATCCCTTCACTTGCGACTCGAGATCGTCCCGCACGTCCTTCACCCGCGCCGCAATCATGGACTCCACCAGGTGCATAAGCGCCTCGCCATTCGGCGCCGGCTGCGCCGGCTGCGCTGGGGGAACCACTTCCGTTTTCGCCACGGCACTGCCAGCGCCGTGGTTCCCCACCTCTCCCATCGTCTCCAGCGCCCCCTTCGCCATCGCGCGCCTCATTTCGTCCACCTCTCGCTTCAGAGCTGCCATGGCCTCGCCTTGCCTCTTCACCTGCGCTTCTAACTCATCCGCTCGCTCCTTCGCGCCCGCGACTATCTCCGTCATCCCTCCCGCCGTCTCCAGCGTCGGCTGCACTTTCACAACGAATCCGTTTAGCTTAAACTCCATGCCACCCGTCATCGGATTTGGAAAAACAATCGTACAATGTCGATCTACGAAGCGCTCGTGCGAGGAAAGTTGGAAGGCTAGAACATGGACTGCGTGGCTGTTTGGGAGTCCTCCTGGAATGCATTGGGGGTTCTTGAGTTGACCTGGAAGCTTTTCCTGAAATGAGCCTGAAACCTACTTGGGGGGGCGGTTTGCCCATGTGTCGGACATAGGCGACATTGGATTGAACAATGGCCCCGCATATTTGTAAACCCTGAGCACACTGAAACGTACAGTGAACCGCTCTGTAAATTTCCATTACCGTTTCAGACCCCCACAAAGAGGCCAGACTCTCAAAGCTCGGACGTGGAGTGGACATGGCGTGCAGCTGGCGGAGTGCGGTGCGGGGAGTTGTTCAAGCGCTGCGCGTCACGATGTTTTAATCAGGGTGCATAATTTCAACCTTCAAGTTGGGGAAAGGCTGGCTTTCCTCAGCTCGAAGCCGAAATGTCCGTACTGTAGCGAGGAGGAGTCACTCAGGACTCAGCATTGTCTTTTCGAGGATTCAGCCAGTGGTGGGGGCTTTGAAAACGGCTCTCAGGATGCTCAATCCCGGGCGCACTATCTCATCGCTGGGCGACCTTCTTTTCGGGCGAGCGGCGTCCAGCTCAGCTTTTCCGGAAGCAACGCTTACGGCGATCACCATCCATCAGCTGTGGGTTGAGAGATGTGAAGCGGCTTTCCGGGAGCATAAATTTCGGTTGAGACGGGTTCTGTGGAGGATTGAGGCAGCTTTTCGGCTGCATGCAAGGGTCTTCATGAAACACGCGGGTGAAAAACTGCAGAAGGACAGCGCAACAAGGCGGAAGGGGACACGTGGAGGAGGGCCCAGCCAGGAGATGAGGCTTCTGGTTCGAATCAGAGAGGGAGAAGATCATACAGGGGCCGAACAGTGCCAGGGAGGTGTTCAAACAAGGGCCAAGAGGCCCGGAACTAACCAAACCACTGCTTTAAAACCAGGGTGCACATTCAACGCGGTTCGGCTTGAGATGTTGGGAAGGGGGTTTGGAGAAAAACAGTGATTGGCTCACGAGGGGCGACAAAAAAATGATTCCGCTAGAGCTTCGGGCATTTCGTAGGTGGCGGGAGGGGGTGAAATGGCGGGAGTGGGTGAAACCGAATGGCGGGAGGGATGAAACAGATTGGCGGGAGGGGGGGGAAACGAAATTGCGGGGGAGGGGGGAAACAAAATTGCGGGGGAGGGGGGAAACGAATTTCGACGGGGAGGGGGAAATGAAATTGCGGGGGCGTGGGGAAACGAAATTGCGGGGGAGGGGGGAAACGAATTTCGACTTGAAGGGGTTGAAAGCACACCTCGTAACCCACTCAGTCAAGGGATAACCTTTGATGCACATTCAGCTGAATGTGCACCCCGGTTTTAAAAGTTATTTGCAGAGGGGTATCATTTATTGAACGTATGTTTGTTAACAGTTTGCATTTTCGCTCGCGCGTAATTTTACATGGAAATATTTACTGATTCATCATCTTCCACCCAGTAGCGTCGTTTAGCAGCCAAAAAAACTAAAACCCCAAGGGGAACCTGGATGCATTTTCGAGATGGATCAACCCTAAAAACGGGAACCTTCGTTGTGTTTAGGGTTGATGCCTCCCTAGTCGCATCCATTTCCGAATGGGTAATATTTTTTTTTTCTGCGCGTTTCCGATCAGGGAGTGATATTTATCACCCATAATGAATTTGTTTTTGGACTCACAAATTAACACAGCAATATTTACTTCCAAAAGAACGCGATGTGCGCGTAGTAGTAGACGGCGGTCGTAACCATTTTTTCAATAAGTTGGACACAAAGTTTGGTGCTGGTAGCTTTTCTCTTTTAGTCACGGTTCGGCTTGTTCGCCTAGCCTCTTGGGCAGCTCGGGGTCGAAAATCCTACGGTCGAGATTTTCTGGCCCTACTTTGGTCATTCCTCTGGCACTCTTCGGCCCCAGTTTGATCATTTCCCAATCAGAGACAGGGACGCAAAGAAGTGGACGTGGAAGGCGGGGTTTGCTGCCATCTGGACGCGTCAGAGAAGGGGCAGCATCAGGCCGGGGCAGCTACGCTGAGGCGGGTTACCACCTAGCCTCCTGTTAGAATCTAGAACTGAACGAGAATGTGTGAAACTAGGCAGCAGGGTGATACAAGTAGGAAACCCTAGCAATGTTGTACCCCCTAAGGCTAAACCCACTATAGCCTACACAATATGAACATGTATAATGTTTGACACACCCCCATAGGCTAAGTGGGAGACAACCAGATGGTCACAAGACCAGTCAAAGCAAAGCAAAGCAAGCTCAGGGTGGATCTCAAGGAAACCACACAAATATCGAGCACAAGCAAGTGGTCACAAGACCAGTTCACATGCAGTTTGATAATATAACAAGAGGTACAGTGATCACAACCTAACAAGAGTAAACATGCAGGTATATACATATAGAGATCACAGTACAAGCAGAGTCAAGAAGTGAGCAAGTGAGGGAGAGTAGGCACAAGGCCTAGAACAGTACAGAAACGCTGATGGTCACAAGGCTGAAGCGCCTTGGTGAACACATCAGCAGTGTTGGCCCGAGTGGCCACGTAACGCAGACGAAGCTGACCACGCTGCTGCAGCTCTCGAGCAAGGAAGTAGCGCAGAGCGATGTGCTTCGTCCTGTGCTCCAGTCTGTGCTCCTCACACAAGGCAATGGCGGCCTTGTTGTCAACGTACAGCACTGGAGGAGAACGAGGCCGCTCTCCGAGGTCGGTCAGCAGGTAGGTGAGCCAGCGTAACTCCTGTGCAGCCATGGCTGTGGCGTAGATCTCAGCCTCACAACTGGAGCTGAGAACAGAAGAAGAGCGAGTAGAACGCCAAGAAACCGAACCAGAGCTAAGGCTGAAGGTGTAACCCTGAGACGACCGCTGCGTAGCCTGGTCGTCAGCCCAAGAAGCGTCTGAGTGACCCGTGAGGACAACGTCGCTCCGACCTCCAAGCACGAGCCCCATGCCCGACGTACTGCACAAGTAGCGCAACACCCTCTTAGCGGCATCCATGTGCTCCTTCCGGTGACGGCCGGGAGCGACATAGCGTGCTAGGATGCTAAGAGGGTATGCCAGGTCAGGTCGAGTGCAGGTCATCAGGTACATGAGGCAGCCCACAAGCTCTGGATACGGGCCACTCGGCTCTACGGACTCATCCGAAGGCAGAGCTGAGAGCGAGTGACCGGTAGGCAGAGGAGTGGGCTGAGGCGAGGAGTACGTGAAGCGGAAGCGCTGAAGGACCTGCTGCACCATGTGTGACTGAGTCAAGGTGATGGTGCGCTGTGCTCTGTCCCGGGTGATCCGCAAGCCAAGATAGCTTGTCAGCTCACCCAGGTCTGTGCACGTGTGTCTCTTCTGCAGCTCCGACTTCACGTGGGCGAGTGCCTCAGTGTCAGCAGTAGCAAAGACCAAGTCGTCTACGTAAACAAGAACGTAGAACGGCGGCAGAGTGGTGTCGGTGCGTAGAAACAGCGACGGGTCAGCAGTAGAAGGAGCAAACCCAAGAGCAGCAAGAGTAGTCCTCAGTGTGTCGTGCCACTCACGGGGTGCCTGGCGGAGACCGTAGACTGGCCGCCGGAGGCTCCACTGGGTACCAGGAGGGAACGACCCAGTGAAGCCAGGTGGGCGGCGCAGCCAGATCTCCTCGTGCAGGCTGCCCTGTAAGAACGCAGTGCTGAAGTCAAGAGAGTGGAGCTCGTAGTCACGCTGAGCAGCGACGTGCAGCAGAACCCGAAGAGTGGTCATCTTCGGGGTCGGGGAGAAGGTCTGGAAGAAGTCAACTCCCTCTCGCTGACTGAAGCCTCGTGCAACGTAACGCGGAGAATCCGGCGGCCGCTTCACCCTGAAAATCCACATGCCACTGACGATGTTCGCCCCAGGTGGGGGAACCTCGTCGACGTAGGTGCCTGTGGATTTCCAGGAAGCCATCTCTGCGTCCATGGCTGTCTGCCACTGAGAGGAGTAGAGACCCTCCATCGCCTCTGCGTAGGAGCGTGGGGTCGGGATGTCTGGTGCATCCGGGTCTCCCTCAGGGGCAACTAGCATGGACACGAGATGAGGCAAAGCAGCGGCAAAGCACTCAAACTCCTCCTGTCTGTCCTCAAGGACGTCCGTGCCAAGAGCACACTCACCCCTGACAGACGGAGGACAGACAGACTCAGACTCAGACTCAGCAACAAGGCTAGCGGCGTAGTCTAGACGACAGGCAGCAGCAAAGTCAACAAGCTCAGCGACTAGAGCAGACGCAACAGAGGACTCAAAGGAAGGGTCAGTGACAGCAGTGGCAAGGAGACGCGTGACAGTAGGACTGGCAGCACGAAGAGAGTCAGACTCCGGGTCAGCAAGAGCAGGAAGAGAGGACGCTGGTGGAGACGGCAGTGGGACACGCTGTGGAGCAGTAGAGGGACGCAGGGTCATATAGTGAGTGCCAAGGACAGGAGGAGGACGCTGACGTGGAACACGACGACCAGCGCGGACAGCGCGGACAGGCGACTCTGGACGCGACTCAGACGACTCTGGACGAGTCTCAGGTGACGGAGGACGAGACGCAGGCTCACGACGCTCCGTAAGACCTCCCGTCGGCGCAGTGTAGGGAGAAGGACCAGGAAGTGGAGAGACTGGCTGTAACTGTGACTGCGACTGGACAAGCGGTGGACTCAGTAGGGGAGGAGTAGGACCAGGAGAGGGCGGAAGGCCAAGAATCTGCTGAAGGAGCGGAACGTAGTACGGCCGTGGCCGCTCAGCACCTCCAGCTCCAACCCCCTCAGCAGGGCCAGTCCCAGCAGCTCCAGCAGCACCGCCAGCAGCAGCAGGGTCCCCAGCAGCTCCAGTACCAGCAGCACCTCCAGCAGTGCCAGCAGCACCACCAGCAGCAGCAGCACCTCCAGCAGCTCCAGCAGCACCAGTACCAGCAGCACCTCCAGCAGCGCCAGCAGCACCGCCAGCAGCAGCAGTACCA